CTTAAAACTTGTTTTTAATATGGTAAGATATTATAATCAGTAAATTTCTGTTGATTTCAGACTCTATTTTAATTAATGGCTCCAGTCTCCCCTCAAATTGTTTTTAGTTATTAAAAAGAAGGTAGAAGAAGAAATATTCTTAGCTTTTTTTCCCTATATATTGTTCTTGCCATTTCCAAGTACCTACACATAAACTATCTGAGGAAGATGAAAAGCAAGACTCCTGAAGGACATAAATTTATTATTTCCCCTGAATAGAACTATACTTTTTAGTTTTTCGATGGCTGCTTAAAATTGGTATTATTATATATAAAGCACACATTCACATACATAGTTTATAGCTTGTAAGCTGTAGGAAAAAGGTAGTGCTTTTATAACAATAATATGCCAAGACATTTGACAGGTAAGAAAGAAATGATATCACTAGCTAATTGATATAAAGCATACTGGCTCCAACTGGTTTTGATCTCACTACTGTAGGACTTTGCAGATCCTTCTTCTTCTCAATTTAAAAGTTTTCTGTCCCCAAACTATTTCTATCATGTGTTCATAATGAGCTCTTTTATTAATTCACATTTTGTTGTTGTTGTTGTTGGTTGTGGGGCTTGAACTCAGGGCCTGAGCACTGGTCCTGAGCTTTTTTGCTCAAGGCTAGTGCTCTCACTTTGAGCCACAGTGCCATTTCCTGTTTTTAGGAGTTTAGAGTCTCAGGGACTTTCATTCCTGGGCTGGCTTTGAACCTTGATCTTCAGATCTCAGCCTCTTGAGTAGCTAGGATTATAGGCGTGAGCCACTGCCACCCGGCAATATTAGTCACATTTTTGTTCCACTGTAGTCTTTTTTTTTTCAGTTTTTTTTTTAATTTTAAGAAGTACTCATATTTTCCTTTTTCCAGTGATTTTTTCTTTTTAGAGTTTAAGACAGAATAATCTAGGATATTTACTTTATTTGCCTACTAAGAAGTCTAACTTCAACATCTAAGAATTTTGTTATTATCTTCACAATTGCTTTCATGGTTTGAATATGTGTTGGACATTGTGCTAAGTACCTTCTGATCTTTACTTCTCATAATAACCCTATAAAGGTTGATGTAATTGTCTTCATTTTTGTCTTCATTTTATAAAAAAGAATACTAAAACTAAAAGAGAATAACTGCTTTGTGCTAAGTAGTCACTAAAAGATCTGGAATATGAGCCAATCTCTATTTTTTTCAGGCTACATTTTTCCCCCTTATGAATCCTGTTATCTTCTTTTCTACATTCTACCACCCTTATCACCTAATCAATGTAATTATAAAATAATGGAAATTCTCAATATTTTCACTGACAGATTATTTGAAAAGACTATTTGACACATTTTTGTTGGTTTTTTTTTTTTGGGGGGGTCCGGACATGGGGCCTGAACTCTGGGCCTGGGCGCTGTCCTTCAGCTCTTCAGCTCAAGGCTAGCGCTCTACCACTTGAGCCACAGCGCCACTTCTGGCTTTTTTCTTTTTGCTTATGTGGTGCTGAGGAATTGAACCCAGGGCCTCAGGCATGCAAGACAAGCACTCTACCACTGAGCCACCTTCCTAGCCCCTATTTGACAAAATTTTTTGTGACATAAACAACTGCTGTATTTTGAAATGATACCTTTGAATTTCCTTTTGAAAAATGAAAACTATTTATGTTAGACAATAAATTACTTGTTTGCATATGTTTGGAGAAATCATAGTTTTGTGTGTGTGTGTGTGTGTGTGTGTGTGTGTGTGTGTTTAGTTTTTGTTGCTGAGGATTGAACCTAGGGCCTTATACAAGTTAGTATACTTTACTATAAAACTGTTTCCTCAGCCCCAATAAATAAAGGTTTTAGGTGTTAAATCTTACAATATTTATTAATCTTACACACACATAAATGTGTAAGTTCTATATGAATTGGTATTATAGGGCTGGGAAGGTGGCTCAGTGGTAGAGTGCTTGCTTGCATGCATGACGCCCTGGGTTCAATTTCTCAACACCATATAAGCAGAAAAAGCCGGAAGTGGTACTATGGCTCAAGTGGTAGAGCACTAGCCTTGAGCTGAAGAGCTGAGGGACAGTGCCCAGGCGGAGTTCAGGCCCCACTACTGATAAAAAGAAAGAAAGAAAGAATTGATATTATAAAAAAATTTCAACCTCTTTGTTGAATGGCAAGTCCTTTGTATAACTACTTAAAGATAATTTAAAAAATCATCTGATATAATTTAAGAAATATTTAGTATATACTTGTTAATATCACTTAAGTTATACTTTTTATGAATAATTCTTTTTCTTTGTGTAATTCTCTGCAGTATATACTTTACTAGAAACTCAAATTCTTAAGAAGTGACACAGCTCAACAAATTATATCTTAAAATTTTTGTTAGCTTTTATTAGAAGTATAGATTTCTGATTGTATTAAAATTTTAGTTCTGCTCCTAGATGCCACCAAGAAAACACCATGGACCTGTCCAAAAAATGTTAGGAATCCAGAGTTTGATAGGTGATACAGAATTTGATAGGTGATTATTGGAATACATGAGCCTGGCTTTCTTTATTTTCTACAGTAGGTTTTATTTGAGTAAAGCCCTAAGAATTTTCATGGAAAGCTGTTTCTTTTTAAAATTCATTTTTAAAATTTCTTAAAAGTACTGTTTTAATTCTCAAAAAGAAAATCTAGTTCTGTGCCCTTATTCTCCAAATATGAATCTGTGACTGCTTGATTCTTTCATTTCAGATTTATGGATAAGCATGTGTTCTGTTAATAGTCTTTTTTTTTTTTAATTTATATCATTGACCTTTGCTTCAGAAAGCATTCAAAGGTCTTTAACGGAGGGAGCCATGAAAGGGGATGTTGTAAAGGCTTTATTCTATAAAAGAAGTCACACAGGCATGCTCTATGTTTGCAGAGTGATTTAATTCTTATGCATGCCGACATTGGCCATGGGCCATGAGTAACATGATAGAAAAGCACTTGGGGGGGAGAGGGAGGGAGGATGGGGGGAGGAGGCTGGGAAGGGATGTGAAGGGTAAACAAAGGAGGAGGCTGCAATGCTTGGTAAGAAATGTATGCATTATCCTGCCCATGTAATTGTAACTTCTCTGTACAATATGTTCACAAATAAAATTTAAAAAAAAAAGCACTCCTGGTGCAACCTCACAACCAAACTTTCCTACTTTGTGCTCTTTCTCACTCTCTGTTTGTTTTTGTTTATTTGTTTTGGTTTTTGTTTTTAAGAGAGAAAAGTACTTCTTATTCTATTACTTTAAATTCCTTCTAGGAAACGTGAAGCATGCTATCTAACCTTAGTTAACAGCTTGATCAAGATTCATAATTTACTCTTAGATTGTTTTTAAAAAATAAGTCACTAAGGAACAGATTCTCCAGGGAGAAAGACTGCTGATTGCATCAGTCTTTTGAGTGCCCAGAAAATAATTCTGAAGGTCAAGCCTCCTCATAGGGCTAGTAACTACTTTGGGGCCATTGGCTATGTTATGGCTTATTATTGTGTTCAATACCTTTATTATCTCAGTAGTACATCAAGGATTATGACCTTTACCTAGTAAGTTTATCTTGAAAATCAGAAATGAGGTATATGTAGTGACATAGGCCCTCAATATATGGAGTCCTTTGTTTCTTTCTTACTACTAATCATTATTATATCATTCTTGCTTTTAGATAGCTCACTTTACATTCTCTGTAAAATTATTTGTTTCCTAAGAAATTGCATAACTTGACACACTAGGCAGTTTTTAATAGGAATCCAGATTTGATAGGTGATTCTTTACAAGGGTTTGGGACCATGGCTTACATGAGCCTAGCTCATGTAAGAATTTTCATGTAAAGCTGTTTTTTAAAATTCATTTTTAAAATTTCTTGAGATTACAGAGAAGTAGGACAGTGGAGGAGAGAAGTACAGTTCAAGTTTAACTACTTGAAGTAGACTTTTTTAAATGTAGAAGATAAAACTCATTATTTAACTCAAGGAATAGTAAATAGACACATCTTTAATTGTCAAAATTTAAAAAATATATTTAAAAACAGTCCTTAGGTTTGGATGCTACAAGTAGAATACACATGTAGACTATGTGTTGTACTTCCATTTTTTTTCAAAATTCTATCCAAAGTTCCAATTAACTTATAACCTCCATTTTAAACATAGAAATAGGAATATAGAAGGCAGTAGGGATGGTTTTAACTGTTATGCATTAAAGCTATGTAAGTATTAGCAATTTTAGCTTGGTTCATGAACTAAGACTAACAAATCCATGGGGGCTTATTATTAGAAGCTGAATCTCTAAGGAAATTATTCTATAAAGAGTTTTATGTTCAGTTGTCTCTTACCAATATGACTGGTACCAAAATCTATCCAGATAAAATCTAAATCTTGAGGTACATAATTAGCATGTAAAGAAACCTTTTACTCCAGCTGGGTGTCCTTGGCCTCATGTAGAGAATTATATCAACTTGTGAGCATCAAAATGGACACAAGATGACACATTCATTAAGATCTTACTGTTTATATTACTCAGCTAAAAGTTGGGTGATGACTAGTTGGTGTTTCTTCTTTTTTCCAGAGTGGAATGAATGCCAATAGAACTGTGGGATAATTAAGCAATGAAATATAGCAGTGGTACAAGTTTTATGCCCCCAGTACATTGTAAACAAAGATTTTACATTGAACATTTCTGTTCTTTGTATATCCTCTTATATATTAACTATACAAATATAGAAGATCAAAAAGTGATCACCAGTGATTAATATTAAAGTATTAATACCATGTTATTATGAATATAATATACCATGTCTGGCATAAGATTGAAAAATACAAGCTGGATTATTTAGTCATGAATATCTCATTAAAGTTCCAATTTAACTTAAACTAGAATCTAGAATCTAGTTGGAATTCCTCACTGTACATTAAGATAATCTATGTGAGATGTTAGGCAATGAAACTTTCAAAATGATTTACTTTTGTTCATTGGCTTTGCCTTTATTTACAGTTCTGGAAATTGCCAGTGCAGAGTGGGTATCACCGGCTCTACGTGTAACAGATGCCAAGATGGATATTATGGGTTTAGTAAGAATGGCTGCTTGCCCTGCCATTGCAATAATCGGTCTGCCAGCTGTGATGCTCTTACAGGTACATACTTTCCTTAATTTGCCATATTCTGTTGTTATTTTCATTGAGGGCTTTCACTATACATTGATTCTTCTCAAATAGTCTAAAAGGGGCTTTCTCTTCTAAATTAAATGTCATAGGACACAATAAGCCACATTCCTTTTATAACAACATGAAGACAATACATAAATTTCAAGTCATAATGGTTGGAGAGCCTTGGAAGAAAGAACTCTCTGAACTAAAATTTCAGAGAAATTTTAGAGAACTCTTCCTAAGTAAACTTATTATCACCAGATGTTCTGGAAATCCAGGGTAAAAGAACTGATTGTAAGATGTCATGAGGCCAAAGAAAGAGTCAGATAGATCCAGCCTCGAACAGAGTACAATTTATTGGAGGTTTACTGGAAGTATAGTGAAGGGCAGCAACAAGATGAGTGAATTTTCTCATCGTGGGTCAGAGGAGGGGGCTAACATGGTGACAAAAATAGCTTTTATTAAAGCCAGAATGTACATTCCTGATACTGAGGGTGCCAAGTTCCAGTTGTAAAGCTCCATTTACCAGTCCCGTGAAGTTATGTGTTAAGCTGGCCACAGTCAAATCAAGGTGGACTACCTCAGGCAGCCTCTCTAGAGGATTTCTGTTGACTCTAGGCATAGACTTGGCCTGCACAAAGGAATTCTTTTTGAGGAAAGAGGTACAAGAAAAGCTTTTGGAAATCTTGGAGTTTTCACAATGGTTGGAAACTAGAGAGACCTTAAACACAACACCCATACTCAGGCCATTAGCTGACTATGCAGGAGATGAAGGTAAGTCAGAAATGTAGAGAGAAATCACAGTTTTTGGCTGAGAAGACAGGATCCTGTTAAAAAGGACTACAACATACAGCCATCTCTCTTAAGACAATGCCAGGCTCTGAGGCTACATGAAGTGGAATCCAAACAAAAGCCACGGTGGCCAGTGCTAATCACTCAGATTTTTTAGGATTGAGGAGGCAAAAGGGCTATAACCAAAAAATAGGGATGAACCATAGGTGAACTGACAAATACTAAAATTGCAATCCATTTTCAGTTTACCTCAATTTCTGATTGAACTGAGGTAATTCTTCATTATATCTACCTTGCAGAGGAAAAGAGAGACCCTTCTTATACAATGTCTGTCATAAGATTAAAAAATTCAAAGGGAATGCATAGATGGGAAAACATAATCAGTAAAAAGAGAAAATGTAAACATTGGAAGCAGAATCACAGGTAATGTACATGTTAGAGCCAGAATACAAAGACTTACTAAGAGAACTCCATGAAAGTGAACAATATAACTCATGGATGGAGATGGGAGAGAGGGACTAAGAGAGAGAAAGCGAATGAAGGAACAGAAGACACTGTACAAAAGGAAATGTACTCATTACCTGGCTTGTGTAACTAATCCCTTTGTATATCACCTTGTTAATAACAATCAATAAATTTTTTAAAGACTTATTAAGATTTATTAAATCAATATATTAAGAAAACGGAGGCCATCTAGATATAGTGTCTCATTCAGGAGGCTGAGATTAGGAGAATCATGTTTTGAGGCCAGCCAGGGCAAAGAGTTCAAGAGATCCTTTTTCAACCAAGAGCTGAGCATGATTGCACACATCTGTTACCCCAGCTAAAGTTCATTATGGTGGCACAGGCCTGTTGTCCAAGCTTTGTTGGGAAGAGTAAAACAAGAGGATTGTGGGCACATGCCTGGCGGGAAAAAGTGAGAGTCTATCTCCAAATGACCAGTGCCAAACAAAGAGCTGGAGGCATTGTTCAGCCTGCCAAGCATGAAGCCCTGAGTTCAAACTCTCTTACTGCCAAAAAAAACAAGAGAATAGAGGCAAGTCAGACCAATTGGACAAAAAGAGAGGTAACATTTCATTAGAGGATTGTACTCTATTAAAAAAGAACCCAATGGACAATCTAGACTAAAAAATATAATACTAGAAATTAATAACCCATTGGGTAGGCTTAAAAACAGATTGAACACAGTGAAACAAGTTAGTAGAACCAAATACAATGCAATTAGGATATCCAGACTAAAGCATTTAGAAAAAATAAAATGGAAAGAACAAAGCAGGAAAGACATGTGGGACACTGCCAAAAAAAACCCAAAAAAACTAACAAAAATGTAATAAGAGACTCAGACAAAGAGGAAAGAGATAATGACTAGGAGTTTTCCAAACCAATGAAAATCATCAACTCACAGGTTCATAAAGCTGAAAAAACTCAAAGCAGTATTTTTTAAAAAAGAAAAGAAAATCACATTTTGGAAAAATTAAACTATCAAAAACTAAAGACAGTCTTCTGATCTTCAGTTTTCCTTAAAAAGCCACTTAAATACTTAAATACTGTTTTTAAAAAATTATGGCACATTACTATAACAAGTAAAAATCTCCTAAGTGATTTTATGGGAAAAGAGTAGCAGAATATTTAGAAAAATCAACCAATGTGGATTGGGACTTAGGCTCAAGCCTATTCTTTATATAGTGAAGCAAATACAGAGAAGCTGATTTTGCAGAAATTGCATTTTTCTTTTATGTAATTTGGTCCCTGCCTACTTGTCAGGTATATTGTATACTATTCTTTTTCTTTACTATCTGTGAAGCCAGGCACACTGGCTTCTGTTTCTAAAACAAGCTATGTTCCCTCGCCTCAGGGTTCTAATACATGATCTTTGCTCTGACTATAATGGTCTTTTTATTTTACCTCTACCCCATGGGGCCCCTTTGCCTTATTAACTCATGTTCTTCTTTCAGGCCTTTAATTAAAGGTTACCTCATTAGAAAGTATTTCCTGATGTTCCACACTCAATGAAAACACCTCTGTTTTATGTTCTTCCATGCACCCATATTTTCATAGTATCTATCAAAATTTATAATTATGTATTTTTTTGGTTATGAATTACACATGGCTCACTCCATGTGAAGTACCAAGAGGACATAAAAAGTCTCAGTTTTCAATATACAGTCTTTAGCAATGATCTTGGCCTAGGGTAATTACTCGTCCACTGTCAAATAAAGGAACAAATGAGTGGGAAATCATGCAAAACAAAGGTTAGGTTACATGTTGAGTACCCAGGGAAATGTTTTATTATCCTGAATCTATTCCAATTACTTCCCACAACTTTTACAGCACCAAAAAGTCATGTACATTGAAGGTTCTTTTTATTTTTCCTTGCAGCAATGAGGTAGCTCTTTTTTACTGTTAAGTAAATGCCAAGCAGTGCTTTCTCTGGCGATAATGTAAATCAAAAGAAATCCTTTATATGGTTATGATTTCTGAAATCAGCTAATAATGAGAGAAATAAATAGTTTCTTTGTTTGGAAATATATGGAACTATAATCCAATAGGAAAGAGTACAAATGCGTCATTTTTAAAATCACAAGTTTTATATACAATCTTTCCCTTTTCTTCAAATGAAATTAGATTTTCTTTTCTGAAAGTGCTGTGGTATGATTGCCCCCTGGTGGCCACTCACGAGGTTTCCACAGTCTATTCTTGCCCACTTCTGGTCTTTTTCTGTAACTTTTTAGATTGAATTAGATTTTTAAACTACCCTTTTTGTGGTAAATTTATTGGTAAAAATATTGAAAACAATTTAATAATATCAGACATCTTAAAAATACTTCTTTAATCCAGTAATTTTCTTTTCAGGGGCCTATTCTGAAGAAATAATTCTAAGTTCATAAAAAAACTTTGTTAGGGGCTGGGAAGGTGGCTCAGTGGTAGAGCGCTTGCCTTGCATGCATGAGGCTGTGGGTTCGATTCCTCAGCACCACATAAGCAAAAAACAACAAAAAACAAAAAACCCTTTATGTTAAAAATGCTCACCAAAAATATATTAAAAAATGCTCACCAAAGTAATAATTAGCAATAATTCTAAACAATTATATACCCAATTTTATAAAAATATGGAATTAAGTTAATCACATCTAAGTATTATTATATGGCTAGTAACATAGAAATCAGATCTTTTTTATTTTCTTTCTTTTCTTTTTTTTCAGCCACAGGCCTTGAACTCAGGGCCTAGGCACTGTCCCTGAGCTCTTTTGTTCAAAGCAAAAGCTATAGTACCACCTCCAGTTTTCTGGTGGTTAAATGGAGATAAGAGTCTCACAGACGTTCCTGCCCCAGCTGTCTTAGAATCTTAATCTCAGATCTCAATCTCCTGAATACCTAGGATTACAGGTGTAAGCCACCAGCACCCAGCTAGAAATCAACTCTTTATCTTGGGAAAGTTACTTAATCTGTTTCTTTATATATAAATTTTGGGTAATAACAGTAACTGTCTAATAGGTTGTTGAAAAGATTAAATGCAATACTTTTAACGTATAATACAGTAAGTCCCCTGCTATCTTAAGCAATCAGTAAATAGTAACTATTAATATATTATCATTAAAATATTTTCAAGAATTACTTATATAAGTACATGAGAATGTGAAAGAAGCAGGATACAAGCTAAAATATTGAAAAGATGTCTTTATTAATAAGTTCATGAAGTTTGGGAGATTTTGCTTCTTCCTTTTCACTTTCTTTGTTGTTTTTTATTTTGAAATTTTAAATAGAAAGACCTATAAAGAATATTATAGCAAATACTCATGGACTTACATCTAAAATTAATAAGTATTAACACCTTGGAATTTTGCTCTGTGTTTATAGATATGTGTATGTGCTTACATATTTGAAATAGAAAGTTTCAAATAAGGTTGGATACCTTTTTGTATTCCTCCCTAGTCCAATTAAGAATTGAAATTTAACATAAAAATAGTATGTTCATTATTTTGGTTTTTCAAATCTTTCTTCATTTGTTAGACTATTTTATATCACCATCTCACTGTCCCTTCCCCTTTTTTGGTAACATTTCACTAATAAGGGAAAGAAACAAATAAGAGGGTTTAAGCTATTCTTAGCTCATTTTATAAAATTTCAGTATCTTCCTAGTTTCTTTAGAGTTTACTTACTTGCCTATGTAATAGTAGTTCTAAGTGTCCTTGAATCTCTGGGGCCTCCAAAACAAAGAATGTGAGCTGTACTACACCTTTGCAGTCCCCTCTTCATGTGTTCTGTTCCTTTGGAGTCTGTTGAGTACCCTAAGTGACAGAGGATTGAGACAGAATATTATTATTAACCAGAAATTTGCTTCTTCCTTTTCACTTTCTTTGTTGTTTTTTACTTTTATTTTTAACTTTAAATAGAAAGACTTATAAAGAATATTATAGCAAATACTCGTGGACTTACATCTAAAATTAATAAATATTAACACCTTGGAATTTTGCTCTGTGTTTATAGATATGTGTATGTGCTTACATATTTGAAATAGAAAGTTTCAAATAAGATTGGAGACTTTTTTGTATTCTTCCCTAGTCCAATTTTTTTCTTCCTTCCTCTACAGAGAAAAGCAGGCCATAGAGTTCTCCTATAGCCTTTCAGTCCCTGTTTAATTGTAATCTGTATCCATTTGCCTAGTATTACTTACTTCTTTTTTTTTTTTTTTTTTTGCCAGTCCTGGGTCCTAAACTCAGGGCCTGGGCGCTGTCCCGCTTCTGTTGCTCTAACACTCTACAACTTGAGACACAGCACCACTTCTGGCTTTTTCTGAGATTAATTGGAGATGAGTCTCATAGATTTTCCTGTCCAGGCGGCTTCAAACCACAATCCTCAGATCTCAGCCTCCTGAGTAGCTAGGATTACAGGCATTGAGCCACTGGTACCTGGCTAGTATTTTTTTAATTTAAAAACTTAAGCATTTTTCCTTGATACTTCTGCATTATGTGTTTCAGCCATTGCTGGTTTAATATTTTTAGTTTATTTGTTTAAATACAGAACCAAAGCTATGAAAATATCACAGTATATGCTTCTATTAATTGATATGGAGGTTATTTTATTTTTAGTTTTACATAATTTGCCTGTTTTATACTATAGTCACCAAGTAACAAGGGCATAGTATGATTCTAACCATGTTCTTCACCTTCCCCGAAGGGGACATCGAATTTACAGATGTGGAAAGCATAAAATTGTGGTGCAGTAGAAACTAAATACCATCCCATCCTTACTACTTTTCCTTATTCTGGTAATTCTTATGTTCTTTTTGTTTCAGCCATGAATTTCAAAAGTTACCATGCTTTCAGGGCAAATTTTAACCTTAAAAAATAATTTTTTTCTTTTAGGTGCTTGTTTAAACTGCCAGAAAAATAGCAAAGGGGATCACTGTGAAGAATGCAAAGAAGGATTTTACCAGAGTCCTGATGTCACTAAAGGATGTCTTCGCTGCCCTTGTTCAGCAGTGACATCTACAGGCAATTGCACAATAAGTAAGGCCTTTCTCTAAATCTTCATTTCAGAGCAGGGAAAGTCTGTGAAACCTTCATTGGTAGTTATGAATTTTATTGACAAATTGAGTTCTGGATGTTATATGTGAAAGTAACTTATGAAGTCAGAAAACATTTTCCTTTCTAGAAATTTACCATCTAGCCCAAATATATATGCAAAGAAAGACTTAAAATTTCTTTTCTTTCCCTTTTTTTTTGGGGGGGGGAGAAAGGGAGGTCAGTCGTGGTTCTTAAACTCTGGGTCTGACTCTGTCCCTGAGCTCTTCAGCTCAAGGCTAGCCTTCTACCACCTGAGCCACAGCACCACTTCCAGTTTTTTGGTGGTTAATCGGAGATAAGAGTCTCATGGACATTCCTTTATGGGCTAGCTTTGAACCACAATCCTCAGATCTCAGTCTCCTGAGTAGCTAGGATTACAGGCGTGAGCCACCTGCACCCAGCTGAGATTTAAAATTTCTATAGCCAACACTATAAGTTAAAAACAGGAACTTCAAAACTGAACAATTTTTGCTTACCAGTTTCATGGTAACATTCACTAGCTACTTTTTCAAAGGCACCTAATAATATTTACTGGTTGTGTCTGTTTAATAATCTCACAAATACAGGTAACTCCTGTTTAATTGATAACAATTAGTTATCAATTGCTGCATACCCAATTATCTTAAAATGTAACAGCTTAAAACAATAAAGTATTATATCTTTCTTTTTCTGTTAGGAATTTAAGAGCAACCTAAATGGATAGTCCCAATTTGAGATCTTTCTTCTCTTTTCTGACTCCTTTTAAAATATGCATAAAATTCAGTTAAATGAATAATTCAGTGTTTTTGTATATAATCACAATATTGTACAACAGTTCTTGCAGTGATTTTTGAAACATTTACTTGCATTACCTCTCCCCATCAAACAACAACAATAACCAAACACAAAACACAACTCTGAAACCATTTGCAGTCACTCCCATCCCAAGTCAGCTTTAAGTAACCTCTATATGGATTTGCCTACATATGGATTTGCCTATCCTGAACATTTTATATAAATAGAGTCATATATAGTCCATGTATCCAGCTTCTTTCATATGGTGTAGAATTTTCAAAGTTCAACTCTGTTGTAATATATATCAATACTTCATCTCTTAATTGTCAAATAATATTCCACTCTCTGAATACAAATTTTTTTCTATTCATTTGTCAGTTGATGGACATTACAGTTGTTTTCACTTACTAGCTATTATAAATAATGTTTCTCTAAGCGTTTGTGTTCACAGTTCTACACATATAAATGTATTCATTTCTCTTGAGTGTACCCTAGGAGTGGAATAGCTGGGTTATATATACCCACTGTCTGCTTAACTCTGCAAGGAACTGTCAAACTACTTTCCAAAATGAGTACACCATTTTATATTCTTATTTTTACTTATTTGTCTGAGGATTCTAAATTGTCTGAGGGTTCAAAGCCATCCTGGGCAGGAAAATCTGTGAGACTCTTATCTGCAATTAACCACCAGAAAACTGGAAGTGGCACTGTGGCTCAAGTGGTAGAGCACTCGCCTTGAGCTGAAGAGCTCAAGGACAGCACCCAAGCTCAGAGTTCAAGCTCCACAACCAACAACAACAAAAAAAAATTAAAAACTTTAGAAAGCTTATAAAACTATGATTTGTAAATATCTGCTTCGGTTGTATGGCTTGACTTTTTACTTCCTTAAGTCCTTTGCAGGTAAAAAGTTTTACATTTTAATGATTTAATATGTTTTATTGTTCATATTGGATGGGATTTCTCATGCAGTTGTAATCAGCCAAAAGAATAGCCAGAGCTGTACTCAGTAGTCTGAAGGCTTAATTGGGACTGTAGAAATCTGCCTTTTTTTGGTTGGTCGTGGGGCTTGAACTCTGGGCCTGAGCAGTGTCCTTCAGCTCTTCACCTCAAGGTGAGTGCTCTACCGCTTGAGCTACAGCACCACTTCCGGTTTTCTGGTGGTTTATTGGAGATAAGAGTTTCACGGACTTTTCCTGCCCAGGCTGGCTTTGAACCACGATCCTCAGATCTCAGCCTCCTGAGTAGCTAGGATTACAGACGTGAGCCACTGGAGCCTGGCTTAGAAATCTGCTTTTAAGATGGTTTACTTACACAGCTTGATGGAGCCAAAAGGCTATTACTTGCTATGTGGACCTCTTCATCCAGGTACATACATGTCTTTCCAACATAGTAGCTGGCTTCTTCTGCAAATGAATAATCCGAGAGAGAATGAGAGAGAAACTGCAATGTATTTTGTAATCAAGTCTCTGAAATCATAGAGGTTTCATAATACCCCATAGTCGCACATGCTTATCCTATTGAGTGTGGGAGTGGACTCCATCAGGTACGAATGACAGGAGGCAGGGAGCATTTGAGACCATCTTGGCTGCCATCCCTGATGAGGAGAACTAGTATGTCCCTCTTTCCAAAATTAATGAAATTTTGGGCTGGGAATGTGGCCTAGTGGTAGAGTGCTTGCCTAGCATGCATGAAGCCCTGGGTTCAATTCCTCAGTACCACATAAACAGAAAAAGCCAGAAGTGGCACTGTGGCTCAAGTGGTAGAGTGCTAGCCTTGAGCAAATGAAGCTCAGGGACAGTGCCCAGGCCCTGAGTTCCAGCCCTAGGACTGGCAAAAAAAAAAAAAAAGTTAAAAAATTAATGAAATTTTTATTTATTTCACAAATAATAATTGAGCATTGTGCTACCAAAGGAAATAAAAGTAAAAAACAAAGGAATCTGCAGTGTAACATAGAGAAAAATACATAAATAAAGCATTGAATATAGCAAATGTATTTATGGGGCAAAATAAGACACAAACTAGTAGAAAACACAAAAAGCACATATTAAGAGTAGCAAATGGGGTCTGGGAAGGTGGCTCAGTGGTAGAGTGCTTGCCTTGTATGCAATGAAGCCCTGGGTTCAATTCCTCAGCACCATAGAAGCAGAAAATGCTGGCGCTGTAGCTCAAGTGGTAGAGTACTAGCCTTGAGCTGAAGAGCTGAGGGACAGCGCCAAGGCTCAGAGTTCAGGCCCTACAACGGACCAAAAAAAAAGTAAAAGTAGCAAATATACTTATATGGCATAATAGAATACAAAAGAAGAATGTTCTCTTCTACCTGGGATTGTGTGTTATGAAATTTTTCATAAAAGAAGTGATACTTTAGATAACATATTATTTATCACTATATATGTAGCTCTTTGCTAATTACTTAGGATATTAGAAGGACTATCTAGAGTCAGAATATGGAAATATTAATATTTCAAATAATAATATGGAAAATTAATATTTCAATCTATATCCACAGTATCAAAATTCTAGTTTTGGAACACATTAATTGTATTAAGCAGTTTAAGATTTTAGAATTTCATAGGAATTTAAATAAGAACTTTGGAGTCTCTGACTCCAATACTCATCTAGAGTATTGTTTGTTTTGATCATAGGACCTGATTTAAGATATTTGACTTATAAAGGATTTCTGAATAAACTTGATAAACTTTCTTGAAGAAGATGCCTATAAAACAAATATGGCTGGCACTGGTGGCTCACACGGTTCAAAGCCAGCCTGGGCAGGAAAGTCCGTAGACTCTTCTCTCTAATAAAACACTAGAAAACTGGAAGTGGTACTGTGGTTCAAGAGGTAGAGTGCTAACCTTGAGCTGAAGAGCTGAGGGACAGCTTAGGCTCAGAGTGCAAGCCCCATGACCAACTGGAAAAAAAAATATATGCTTGAAATCCTTGTTCTCATCTGCCCTTTCCAATGACTGCAGATTCCACAAGGGCAGAGACCATGTCTGTATATTTAATGATTTTATTCCTATTCCCATATGTTGAATGAATAGAAAGGGAGATAACAATACTCAGGGTAGAACATGGTTAGAACTGGAGCTGTGAGAGCTTGAGGGAAGAAGGATAATTTCCTACTGGAAAGTATAGAAAAGTCGTCATAAAGCAGGTAACATACAAACTGGGCCTTGAAGACTGAGGAATTGAACATCTAACAGTGTGTCTATGTATCGGTGAGTGGGAGATCAAAGCCAAAGGCTGAATAGGGATCTGACAAGTACAGTTTGGTCAGTATGTAAGTGGTCTAAAATACATCGCGCTTACACTGCAGGATAAGGGGTAAAAGGTACCCCACTGATTCAGATATTTGACCCTTTCAGAATTAACCATTTCTGATGCAGAAAAATACAGATTAGTGCACCACAGTGTGATGGGTCTATGCATTGTGGATGCTCCATGAGGGAACACTCTTCCAGCCTGGGGGATTATCGAGAGGAGGTAATAGTCCTGTGATGAGAGTCAGAATTTAGTGGGGGACAAAAGGAAGAATTTTTTTTAGGTAAAAAATCAATAAGAGCAAAGAAACAGAAATGTTAAAATAGTCTGATTTTTAAAGTCTTATCAAAAACACAAAGTCACCAGGTGGCAGTGGCTCACACCTATAATTCTAGCTACTTGGGAGGCTAAGATCTGGGGATTGTGGTTCGAAGACAACCCAGGCAGGAAAGTCTATGAGACTCTCATCTCTGATTAATCACCAAATAGCAGGAAATGGAGCTGTGACTTAGATGGTAAAATGCTAGTCTTGAGCAAACTAGTTCAGGGACAGCGCCTAGGCACTGAGTTCAAGCAAAAAACAGGAAAACAGGGGCTGGGAAGGTGGCTCAGTGGTAGAGTGCTTGCCTTGCATGCCTGAGGCCCTGGGTTCGATTCCTCAGCACCACATAAGCAAAAAGAAAAAAGCTGGAAGTGGCACTGTAGCTCAAGTGGTAGAGCACTAGCCTTGAGCTGAATAGCTGAGGGACAGCGCCCAGGCCCAGAGTTCAGGCCCCACAACCGGACCCAAAAAACAAACAAACAAACAAAAAAACCAGGAAAACAAAGTTATTTCTAATGAGGGAGAAAAAATGAAACAGGGATTTTGAATGCCATTTCACAAACACCAATGAGTCTGAATTTGATAGACATAAAAGCCTTTGACAAATCTTGATTTCAGACCTTCAATCTATTTCATCAGGATTTTTCCAAATAATTATTACTACTGTAGTAGTTGAACTCCAGAATTCTATAATTCTATACCATTATAATGTGTAAGTTCCTTGAGAACAGAAATATAAGCCTCTTGTTAAGTATTTTCTGTATGTCAGCATTTGCATGGGTTATGAACTTATTCAGTTGTCATAAGTTGCTAGAGACAACTTAAGTATTTCTGGCTTAAACCCTTTATTTGGAATATGGAAAACTGAGGTTCAGTGTTCAGTAAGTTACTTGAGATCACACTATCAACTACAATCAAAAATGGTAAGTTGAAATTCTTTATCAGATATAAATTCTATGAGTATATTAAAAAACCACCATTGACACATATTTCGATGTATATGAGGTGAATTATATTTCAAAGTTGTTAAAATAATAGTAAAATAGACAACAAGGATTCATTATTTTATAAAGACCATCAAAGATGTGTTGAATTGCTACAAGTTTCATGACCCATGTAAATTATTTCTTTTGTAATAATTATGTGTTCAGAAAACAAGATTGTTCAGATTTTATAATTGGAGATTATAAGAAAGGAACTAGTAAACTTGGTGAATAAAATTATGGTTTTTGCCATTAAAAACACTTATAAAATCTCATTGAGAATCTCAAAATCATATGAAAATTTTTTAAAGGAGCAAATAACTATGGGTTGGTTCCCACTATATATGATGAAATTATTCACTTAGCAGACATTTATTGAGCATATACTGTTTATCTGGCACTATACTAATCATTAGCGATAAAGATGGAGAAAATAAATAGGTCATAGTATAGTAGGAAAGACAGTACTCAGGTAATTACAATTAGAATTATGTGTTACAGGTAAGCATAGAATAACCCTAACCCAAATGGGGAATAAAGCACAAACTTTTGTGCTTCTGAGAAGCAAATGGTATCTAAATTAATTCCTATTGTCTGATTTATCAAGTTCAACTGGGGATAGGGAGGCAGGAGAATATTCCTAGAAGAGGAAGAAGTATGAACAAAAACTCAGAAGAATGCAGGCAATCTTTGGGAGGACACTTAAGCCATTTATGTGCTTGCACCGTAGCGGGTGGTGGAATGTGAGGTGAAGGGAGAAGAGTTGGAAGAGGTCAGTAAGGGTTCGATTATGAAGGCTACTGAAAATTCTGTTTAATTTTCACTTAATCCTGAAGACATTAAGATTTGAAGAGCTGTCTCTAGAAAAGCACTATGCTCAGATTTACTGTGAAGATCATAGGGGTGCAATGCAGACCTATTAGGAAGAGACCTATGAGGCAGTGTTGTCAGTGTTGTAGATGAGAAACGATGAAAGCAAAAACTAAGATCACTATAGTAAGACGGAGGGAGATCTGTAGTGGAAAGATCTTAATGAAGTATGATTGATATGAATTGCTAAGTTCTTAGAAGTGGAGGGAGGGAAAGGAGGGCTGGAGGTGTGGCTTAGTGGTAGAGCAATTACCTAGCAAGCCTAGCAAATGCAAGGCTCTGAGTTCAAACCCTAGTACTGCAAAATGGGGGGGGGGAGAAGAAGTGGAGGTGGGAGAAAGAGGATTGAGAGATGACTCTTAAGTTTTTGGCTAGATGTTAGAACCATTCACTGAAACATAGGGAACACTGAAGGGGAGGACAGGACTGAGGAAAGGACAGCTGTTTCTGTTGTTTAAAATTGGATTCACATATATAGACAGTATATAATTTGAAATTTAATATAGTGAAATGGACTAGCAATGCACATTTTGGAATTGTTGATCGTGTGGGTGGATAAGCTAATCTCTGGAGACTGAGCAGAGTGAGAATGAAGGAGACCAAGAGTATCAACATGTAAGTAGGAGAGGGGGAAAGGGAAATTTTGTTAAAGCATTGTTTTATACAATTAGTCATGTCTGAAAATGAAGGAATAAAAAGGTTATGCAATTATCAACCCATCATAATTATTCTGACTCCTGGTGTAAGCATATATATATATGCTTACACACACACATATATATCTTGCCTTCTACCTAAATAGTTTCTCTGGCCAACCTTATCATTCCTATATGCCTGAAAATTAGAACATAAGCTATAAATTATTAGTTAAATTTCATGTCTTTTAATTTCATGTCTCTTAACAGAAGAGAGTTTATAAATCGGTTTAAGGACTAGGACGTGTTTTACATTTTTAATTGTGGTTTGAGACTTTACTAAATTATTTTGGTGCTCTCTTTCTTTTAGAATTGGATGAATTGGAACCTACATGTGTCCAGTGTAAAGATGGTTACACAGGCAAGAACTGCAATACATGTGGAAATGGCTATTACAATTCCGACAGCATCTGTATGCCATGCCAGTGTCATGGCCATGTGGATTCAATTAAAACTCCAAAGATTTGTAAGCCTGAGAGTGGTGAGTGCATCAACTGCCTTCACAACACCACTGGGTTCTGGTGTGAGAACTGCCTGGAAGGTTATGTTCGAGATCTCCAGAGAAACTGCATTAAGAAAGGTAAAACTTTACCCAAGATTGCAAATTTATTATCAAAGGGCTAGCACTGAAAATTTCAGGACAGCTGCGTTTAGCTCTCTAACACCTTCCAATTCTACCAGAGGAGTTTCTGGAAATGTATTTTCATAGATAATTGCCTGAAGAGGTTTCCTTTTCTTTCTGCTTCTCTCCCAATACTGGAAAGTCAACTCCAGAAATTTGAGGACCAAGACTAAGTCATTGAGACAGTGAGACCAAGGGTTCTCACATTTTAACTTCATCAATTTTTATGTTAATGATTTAAAAGTACTATCATTTCTTTTTACCTTTTGCTTGCTTTATTCTCATCACCTTCAGTGATCATCAAAGGTCTTCTCAAGATGGGACCTACAATCTTGCTAGACATTCCAGTTGGTAAACTACAGTTCATTCTAGCATCTGTTCTTACTTTGAATATGTTAGTATTAGTATTAACATTTCTTTTGATTTTTTTTTAAAAAAAAGGTTATTTACATGAATTCTTATAAGGAAGTTAAGAAATATTTAGAAATAATTGTGATTATAAATTCACGGTAGGGCTGGGTGCTGGTGGCTCACTCTTCTACACTTAACTACTCAGGAGGCTGAGGTCTGAGGACCGCAGTTCAAAGCTAACAAAGGTCATAAAAGTCTGAGACTCTTATCTTCAGTTAATCATCAGAAAGACAGAAATGAAGCTGTGACTCAAGTGGTAGTATGATAGCCTTGAGAGAAAAAGCTAAGGGACAGCACCTAGTCACTGATTTCAAGCCTCAGTATTGGCATTTCCCCCAAAAAAAGTTTTTTTAAAAATCCAAATTAAGAATATTCGGTGTATTTGTTCACAGAAAAATGAGTCCTTGCTCTCCCACAAATCACATGTTGACCACCAGTCAGCATGTGATCCTTATCCTTAATGGTTGAGTCCTATCTCAAGCTAGAGATGCTGGCACTCAATTTCTTTACCATTTGGGTTACTTTGTCCATACCAAGGTATGCCTTGTCAGCAGACAGGGCTGTGATTATTTTTATTAGTTCTTTAATATAAATTTTACCTCTTTTCTGATAAATTGAGTTGGCTGGCTATGATGATGAATTATAACAACAATATTTTATTGAGTACCTAATATACACCAAGCATTAAATCTGATCCTTCTTCTCTAAGAACTCTTCAAGGTAGACTTTATTATTCACATTAATGAATGAGGAACCTGAGATTTAGAAAGATTAATTTATTTATAGCAACACAGAGTCCAAAATCTTTGGTCTACCCCCCTCCAACTATTCTGTCACTGGAAGTATAAAGTTAGTACCTTAATTACAAAGTAGCTGTAATCTACACAAAGGAAGATTTGTATTCATGGAATTAAAGGAAAGCTGTTATCTCTCTTGGCTAACATCAACCTTGAATGCTTAAATTAAAATACAGTTTTTTCTGTACTTTCTTTGAGGAAAATTTTACCTTACTGAGATGTTATTAGACATGTTAGACTTATTTTAATTCCATCTATCCCTGTCACTTTTAACCATGTGATTTAAAACTCAGTAATGACATACTTATCATCCTTACAAGAATTTGTATGGTTTCATGAGTAACGAAGAATGGAAAACTCCAACACTGGAATTTTCTGAGGATTTCAGTGTAAATATTATGCATATTGGACAGCTATAAGTGTAATAAGCTAGCTTTCCATACCACAATTCTTACCACTGTAGTTCTTTTAAAATTATTTTAAACTTGCTTTAACACAGGATACCATGTCAACATCCCACATCAACTTCCACTCTCATGTGTATTTCTTTTGTTGTTTCTGAAAACTAGATAATTTTGACTTTTACATTTCATTCTCTGTTTTTATTTTCAGAAGTTATTGTTCCAACACCTGAAGGTTCTACCATTTTGGTTTCCAATGCCTCTTTGACCACATCAGTGCCCACCCCTGTTATAAATATTACCTTTACCCCCACAACCCTGCAGACTACCTTTTCAGTAAGCTCCTCTGAAAACAGCACTTCAGCCTTAGCTGATGTATCATGGACCCAATTTAACATCATCATTTTGACAGTCATCATCATTGTGGTGGTGCTGCTGATGGGATTTGTGGGGGCGGTATACATGTACCGTGAGTACCAGAACAGGAAGCTCAATGCCCCCTTTTGGACCATCGAGCTGAAAGAAGACAATATCAGTTTCAGCAGCTACCATGACAGCATTCCCAATGCAGATGTGTCGGGATTGTTGGAAGATGATGGCAATGAAGTGGCTCCCAATGGGCAACTGACCCTGACGACACCCATACATAACTACAAAGCCTAAGGAGGTAGAGCTGTTCTCCTGGGTTGTTTAAACCACAGTGCTTATTAAAGCAGCATCACCCTCTGAGCCAGACAAAGCCTGGGCAGAGTTTGCTGAGAAAGGCAAATAGTGTACCTGAACTTGTCAAGTACAAATGCAATGTGCTTAACCTATCTGTTGCTCTTAGTTTCCCATGAAGATCTGAAGGATTCATGTCATTAAGGACTTAAAGTAAAGTATATTTTTGTATCAAACCACATGGGAGTATGGAAAGGCTGAATCTCGTAGTGCAGCCCAAATCCACTTGGATCTCCAGATAGACCATTGGAGGTACTCATCTCACAGCAGGGTGGAGGGCAAATGGACTGCTGCAAGACTTCATCTCCATTCCTGGAACATGTTATTTTTAAAGGAGGAGCAGGGATTATATTCATTGTACCATGCTAAAAGACACAATGGAAGAAAAGCTGGTGTCTAGGCTGGATTATAATAAACAATCTTGATTGTATCTAGACTAGGGTCAGAAAGGTCCCTAGATGATCTTTAGGGCTTGATTTTTTTTTTTTCCTCCTAGGATTCTCACTGGGTAGTGAGATTAAAGCACAGGACAAGCTTCTGATGGTGAAGGCAGCATTGAGGGAGCAGAAAGCTGATGGTCCTCCTCAGGGGCTCAGTGTAAATGATAAGTTATCTAAAAATAAGGAATATTCCTGCCTCTCTAAAAATAAGGACTATTCCTGTCTCTAGAAAAATAAGGTGTACATAGTTAATGTAGCATATCTGGTCAACATTGTATTTGTATCTATTTGTAAAAAAATCATGTCATATTTTATCATCTAGAATTTATTTGTACAGCAGCTAAATGGTGTTGTAAAAAGGAAATATGGGGGTTGGCTAAAATACTGTAAAATAGGTGGCAATATTGCTAGAGCTGGGACTCTGGTGAGCATCAGTCATTTTTAGTCCCTCTTTGGACCTTGTTGAAATTTATAAGAGGTTGAATGTTTCTAATTTTTCTTTCCTCTCTCAACCTAAAAGTAGAGCTATGTGCTCTTTAACTTACTGTAGATTCAAGCAATAGATTTTGAAGTTAGTAATTGTTAAGCTAGGACACAGACTTCATTCTCCAAAACCGTTACCTAACTATACACTAGTCATTCTAAATGTTTCACATAGATTGCTGTAAAACATTCCTCATTAAAATATTTTTCCTGAATGTAAAAGATAGTCTTCCAAAAGATAGAAATATTTGAGTTCCAAAAGAAAAGCCATCATATCACACGTTTTCATGCCTGTAAAACATTTTTATCCTTCCAGACCCCAAAATAACTAATGTCCTACATTTGAACATACCCTATCACTGATTTGTCATGAGAGATGTCCCATTTTCTTCAGTGCTTCCGTTTTTCCAGCTTCTTGTCTGGTGAGCGGGTAGCTCTGTAGTTGGCTGTTTATAGCTAGTCCTTTCTTTCAGATGCAGGTTTTCATCACCCAGATACCAATTGCTATTGCTCTCATCTTTTACGATATTGACATGTAGATTAAGCACACCAAGAAAGGTAGCCAGAAGTTGAATATAGATATTCAATATATTTAAGAGGAGGAACAACAAGCTGTGAAGTGATCAGGAAAAGAGCAAAGACTGCTTACTAGATTGTATAGACTGGACCCAAGGAATCCAAATTGGCCTGCTTACCTAACTTCCTCAGGGAAACAAACAAACAAATAGAATTTGGTCTCTTTCTTATAGGACACCCCCAAGTTGTTCCCAGAGTTTGGAGATGATATCCTTGAGGATGTGTTGGCAGATAATCTGCTTCAAGTTAACTTGAAGGCATTCTGCATATTTGACTATTGTCCACAAGAGTAGACATTGTGTTACATTATATTTTTAAAAATCCTTAAGGGCTAGAGGTACAGCTCTGTGCTACAGAACTCTTGCATGTGTGAGGCCCTAGGCTCAATCCCAGCATCACACACACAAAAATCAACATGTGTATTGCCCTTTATAGTTTACAAAACACTTTTCTATGTACATCCTTAGTTTCTTCTATGTTTCCTCTGAGGAAGTAATTTTTACCCATTTTATAGTTGAGAAGACTGAGGCACAAAAGGGCTAAATGTGTTGCTCTGTGACACACAATGTGTGTCAATATTAGGCTTCAAATTTGGACTCCCAGTTTTGCAGCCTATAGTCTTTTTGACTGTGCTAATGCAGAAATTGCCCAGCCATAAACACAAGAAGACTGGGAGGAAGAGGCCCCTTTGTGGATGTAACTATGAGGTGCAATTCAGGGTCACAGAGCCATGAAAGATTATGAGGAGAAAACACACACACACACACACACACACACACACACACACACACACACACACACACACGAGAATTCTTATCTAAAGCCACTATTAATGATACAAAACAAAAAACAAAGTCCAGTTTATGCTTTGCTAAGGTGAGCTAATCCCTCCAAGCAGGGGGAAACTTGCTTTCTCAACAGTTGCTGCTTAGGTGGTATAAACTGTTCTAAAGGATTATGCAAAGTAGCATAGCCTTTCTCCCTAATACCTCACCCTCTGGGGAAAAAAAAAAAAGGTCAGGATTGAGGATGATGGGAAATAAACATTTGTTAAACACAAGTTAACCCAATAAAGACAGAGGAGTGTTTATTGGGATCCAAAAGCCAAAGCCAAAATAGGATTCTGACTATGCAGAGGTTCCTTGAAACAAACCTGAAAAGATAATGCTAAAGTTACATCACACAGAACATTTATATTTAAGTACTTGCTAACTTTAACTTCGCCTCTTAGGTCATATTCGTAATTTTTCACCATGGTGGGAAAACTAAGACCTTTGTACTTGTTTAAAATAATATTTCTTAATGACTTCAGCTTTTTGCTTGTGGAATAATTTTGTTCTAAATATAAATCTTGAGTTGCTCTACCCTTGAAGTCAGATGAGATAACTGGTATGAAATCCCCTGCACAATTTTCATTCCTCTGAAGCTATCCCTTGAAAGATGGCATCCAGCAGCCGAACCCCATCAGTCCTCTAGAAAGCCTAATATTGGAAGAGTTGTAAGGGTTAGAAATACATTTTTTTAAAGAAATACCCACGTGAATCTTATCAAGAAATGACAGTTACTGCTATTAAATGATACTTTTATCTTCACTAATTCATTTTAATAAACCCATACGCATTTTTAATTAACCCATTTTAGTAAGCCCTTATGTATTTCTGATAGATGTTTTAGGTAGCGTTAAATAGGTCTTTGTACTCCCTCACCTCCCTCTTCCCCTCTCCACTTTCTACCTTCCAGGGTTCTTTTTATTAATGGGATTTCTCCAGCTATACAGAAAAAAAATAGTAAAAACCCTCATATGTATCAAAGTCCTATGGACTTAATGAATTACTTTTTCCAGGGACACCTGGGTTTTATGAGAGAACAGAGCAGACATAGAATGAGAGGATAGAGATTGGGTGGGGGTAAGAGGAGCAGAATTTGTATAAGCTTCAAATTATATGGCTGTTCTCTAGTCCCAGTATTTCCAGGATAAGTGACTATTAAGTAATACTCAGTGATCTACTAGTTCATTTTGGTCAACTGAGTACCTTCAAGATATTTAGCCCTTGGACTGAAGAAATGGCTCAAGTGGTAGAACACCTTCCTACTAAGTACAAGACCCTGAATTCAGACTCCAGTTTTTAGCCCTTATGCTGTTCTGGAATCAGAGAGCTAAAGTAGCCATACTTCCTCTTGTTAGATTTTGATCGAACACAGGTTGTTAGATCATTTGCCTTGGTTCTATACCTATTGTAGGATAATATCCATACATGTGATAATATTTATACATGTGAACTTGTCATGACTTACAATAAATATTCCCTGATATTTATATTTTGAGGTAAGTTAGGTAGGCGTTGAATTTCACATCACAAGGGAAGTTCTCTGGCAAAATATTAAAAGGAGTAAGAAGCAAACCAGTGTGACCTGTTAGAGCTAAGAAAGTCTTTCTGACCTTCTCCACAAAAGACCTTTTGGTCTGTTAAGATCTTGCTAGTAAAGAGTTTAAGAGCTAAGATAGGTTTGGTTTGTGCTGGAGTGTAATAGGAAGTGAATGCATTTTTCTCTTGAACCCTGAGCCAGTGACTATGCCAAGGGGAAAAGCAGGAAGAACATACTGATTCATCTAAAGAAATCAAATAATATCAAATGTTGAAGGTTATGATCACTGAAATGTCAGTGGTTTTGAATGATGCTTTTTCTAAGGCAGCTGGGAATCTTTTTGTGTTGTTGTTGCTAATGTACATGCACTAACTATAGCAGCAGTCCTAGGGTGGGAGCCCAGGGCTTCCGATTCAAGTTAGTCTAAAAGCTAAATGATTTAAAGTCAAGTTTTAATGCTAGGCACAAGCACTCTGTAAGAAGTTAAAACTTAGCCCAAGCAATTAGGGAATGTTTCTGAAACAATAAACTTATATTTATGTCACTAAAATTCTAACACAAATTAAAAAAAACATGTCTCATACGTATGCTCTTCTAGGCTTCATGATGCATTTCTAAATTTGTGTATGATTTGAATATATAAAAGAATTTATACAAGAGTGTTATTTAAAATTATTAATAAATGTATATAATTTGTACCTATTGTAGATTTGTTTCATTTATTTTTGTGGTGGAGTAATTAGACATACATACGCTCATATGTATATATAAACGGGCTAAAGATCATTTTTTATCAACTCATTTCATGGAAATCTTTAAATATTTCATACATTAACCATCTATTTTGTTTCAGATCATTTCTTGTCACAAAGCAACATCTGAGAAGAAAACATGTTGACGTACATCCTTGGGCTGGGATGTAGATCAGTGGTAGAGCATTTGCCTAGTATGCACTAAGACCCTGCACTGCAAATAAAAATAAATGAGCAATAACATAGTCTTGTTTATGCTTTTGCCTGTCCTATATGAAAATCTGTTGAAATTTCATGAAAACTTCATGGAGAAAACTTACTCCCTTTGGGATTCTTTGTCTCACAATGTAAGAATTTCCTTTCTTTGGTAGAAATCTGGAAGTAAACCACATTCTTTGTGCTTATTGGAAACCCATAGATATAGTGCATCTTTTATTATTTTAAGGTACTTTTGACAAAGCTAAATGATGTTTAATATGATGCCATCTAGAGAACTAAGGGATGCTCTGAAAAAGGTGACTAAGTCAAACATTTTTTTTCTGTTGAATGTTTATAAACTTCATTTATTCTCCTTCAGTTGGTTAATGTTTAAATTTTGAAACTAGGGTTTATAATCATGCCTTATCTATTTAACATATACTTCATTGATGTACCTAAATTGGATTATATCACCCTAAGGAACAACAGGAATAATAGTGTCAGAAATCTAAACAAATTGATTTTCAAAGAAAAGTGTGTATGTGTGTGTGTATGTGTATATATATATATCACACCAAGCAGAAATAATTATAAACATAACATGTTATTAGAATATAACTTACATTATTCACACTTTTGATAAACCTATCTGGTAAAGACTTTTACAGTAAGCCTGCTTTATTATTTATTACACGTTATTTTGACCAAACATTAACAAATTCAAAAGAAATTTCAAAAATAAGTTTTCAAGTTTCCACATTCATTATGCAGTTCAGTTGATTCATCATCATCAGTTGTGTTTAAATTGTATGATCTGCTGAATAGTTCCCTGTCCTTAATTTTGAAAACTCTTCTTCCCTCCAAAAAAAAAAGCAAATGGAGCCTTAAGATGAAAGTAAAAGTATAACAATCCTCTTCCCATGTAATTGTAACCCCTCTGTACAGTATGTTCACAATAAAAAAATTTTTAAAAAATCCTCCTAAGCTAATAAAAGGCATATTCAGAACTTAAAGAGGTCATGTGAAAGGCAGCATGTCTTTAGTAGCAGTTCAGCAGCATTATGGGAAAAATGAATCAAACATCTGTAATATTTGAGATAGGGAATATGAAATAGGATCCAGTTTTTGATGGCCAGTATTAATATATATAGCAATAATTTTGTTAAGGCCTACTCCATATAGTTTTAAGTTATGGATGTTCAAACCTATTGCACATATTGGTATAGATAAATTTGAAAATTTTTGTTGTTGGTCGTGAGGCCTGAACTCTGGGCCTGGGTGCTGTCCCTCAGCTCTTCAGCTCAAGGGTAGCACTCTACCACTTGAGCCACAGCGCCACTTCCAGCTTTTTCTGCTTATGTGGTAATGAGGACTCGAACCCAGGGCCTCCTGCATATAAGGCAAGCACTCTACCTCTGAGCCACCTTCCCAGCCCCAAATTTGAATAATTTTAGAATACTGAATTTTATGCATCCTTAGCATGCTTGGATTTTTTCTCACCAGCAGTCTCCTTGAAACCATATATCTGTGAATACAAAGGGTCTACTTTAGTAGACTGCATTATTAAAGTTGATGGCATTCATTTTCTGTAGGAGTGAGTATGAGACACATTTTTTAAAAAGTTTTGCATGCTCTATTATGGTTAAATCAGAAACATCATAGTAATCTTTCCACTTTATTTTATTTTATTATTTTATTTATTGCAGTTTTGGGAATCACACCAGGGCTTTGTGCAAGATAGGTAAGTGTTCTGCTGTTCAACTATATCCCCAGCCCCTGTTTAGTTATATTTTAGAAACTAAACTAAATGAAAAAGAACTTTTGAGATGATTTTATGGGGAGAATTCACCAACAGGCTAAGTAAATGTTAAAAATTAAAGTTTTACCTAAGTAGGCTACCTACTTAGGTTTTCAAAGCAATTTTAATGAAAATATTATACAGTAATTATTTTCAGGCTTTCTAATATTTCTGTTTCCAAAATGAAAGTTATCTGACTGTGAAGTTCAAAATGTATTGCTTTACAATGTGCTTGAACATTGAATTTCAGATCGTTTTAAAAAAACAAGAAAAATGTTTTCATTGTATGCTACAGAGGGAAAATCATTATGAATGCCACAATCATCAAAAGTATAGTAAGAGAAACTTATACCAAGAAAGGTGATGACTTAGGTGAAATGTAGACTCCTTGAAAGACTGCCCTGCTCACTCAAAAAGAAATAGATAACCTAAACAGTCCTACACCTATTATAGAAATTGTAACAAAAGCCTGACTTCCAGAGAGTTTGACTGGTGAGTTGTAGAAATACTTAAAAAAGAGGTATTACCAATTCTATACACTTTCAGAAAAACTACAGAAAAGACAATATTCCCCCAACTAATTCTACTAGACCAGGATTGCCCTGAGACAAAAATCAGATAAAGACATTTGCCCAAAGACATATGTATATTTACATATTCCTCATGAATATAGGAAAATTTTTAAGAAAATATAAACAAATGGAACCATACATAAAAAAATAGTGCTTCGTGGCCAACTGAGGTTTACCCTGTGAATATAAAAGTTGGTATAATATTTGAAAATCAATGACCCCAGTTCCTAAAGATTTGAAATTGCCTACTAATAGCTTTAGGAGCATCTTTCACATTAATACCTGGTATGTATCTCTGGCTTCTGAAATAGCTCCAGTTTAATAAAGGTGAAAAGAACATCTTCTGTAATTCATAGCAAGCTGTTGTTAACCAGACCTGAGTTAATAAGAGGACTTTTGGAAAGTCAGAAGATGGGGTACTGGCTGCTGAGAAAGAACCAGCCACATGATTAGAGGGTTGAAACTTTCAGCCTACTCCTTAAGAGAGGAGAAGGGCTGAGACTGAGTCCATCCATCATGCCTCTGTAATGCGACCGCCATCAAAACTAACTGGAAGGGCCTTGCAGAGCTTCAGGTTGGTGAACAAACATGGAGTTGCTGGAGATGATGCACCGAGAGGGCATGAAAACTGACCCATTACTTTGCACTTCACATCTCTTCTACTTGGCTGTTCCTAAGTTGTATCCTGATACTAAAGAGGTAAATATAAGTGAAATGTTCTCCAGATTCTGCAATCTACTTACACAAATTGTCAAAACAAGAGGAAGGAATTATAGGAGTTCTCAATTTGTTGTCAGAAGCCCAGGAGGCCTGGACTTTTGATTGGAATCTGAAGTGAGACAATCTCATGGTACTGTGCCTCGAACATATGGGTTCTGATGCTACACTCCAAGAACATAGTATTGGAATTTAATTAAATTGTAGGAATGTCCTGTTATCTCCCCACTCCCAGGGTCAATGTTGATAAATGACTAAGTGAATCATGGGAAAAGATGGTAATGATGTACATATATACTGTAGACTTTGAGTTGGTACCAGTTTAAATAACAACAACAAAAAAGTAGACTGAACTGGGTGCCAGTGGCTCATACCTATAATTCTAGCTACTCAGGAGGCTGAGATCTGAAGATAGTGGCTCAAAGGCAGCCTGGGCAGGAAAGTCCATGATGTTCTTATCTCCAACCAGATGTGGTATCTCAAAGTGATAGAGCACTACCTTTGTCCAAAAAACTTAGGGACAGCACCCAGGCCTTGAGTTCAAGCCCCATGACCACCACCACCAACAACAAAGCAGGATGCCTGTGGCTCACACCTGTAATCCTAGCTACTCAGGAGGCTGAGATCTGAGGATCGCACTTCAAAGCCAGCCCAGGCAGGAAATCCGTGAGACTCTTATCTCCAATTAACGACTAGAAAACCATGGTAGAGTGGTTGCCTTGAATTGAAGAGCTAAGGGACAACGCCCAGGACCAGAGTTCAAGCCCCATGACTGACCCTCCCACCCACATCCCTCCAAAAAAATTATCTGGGAAGTACCAAGTCATGTGTAAGTAGGAATGTTTGTGAATGACAGACCCTGGGAACATACAATGCAAAACCCTCTCTGGTGCAATGGTGCTGACCAAGCTCATTTGGTCCATGCTGAGGCCTCACTCACAGTCTGGACTGCTGATCCTCATACCCTGCAGCCCCTGTCTGAAGGGTAGGAAGCAACTATCTGAAATTTGACACTTAGGGTGCCTTCTCTTTCTTGTTCTTATTTTTAGTAGCTGGCAAAACCAACAGGCTACATCTTAGCATCTCAGCTTTTTTAATCCTCCTCCCAACACACATTTTTACTAAATGAGCTATTGTGGTCTTTAATCACCATGGCTAGGGGATTATCCAGACTCATTTGAAGAAGCTATTTTTTGCCAAGAGCTAGGTTCTTCTGGACAAGAATAAAGACATTAAGGATTGTCTATTAAGATTTTGCTTTAGTTGAGATAATAATGTGGGGGTAATTAAGCAAATTGTATAGACTCCAATGGGCCATTAGTCCCCAAAGGACATGGAGAGGACTTTACATTCTAAAAAAAAGAAAAAAAATCAGCATTTAGAAGCAGTTACATTTTTAATTTCTTGTCCTGGGTAGATAATAATAATTTCATTTACTTATAACCAGTACCTCATTTTTCCATATTAAAATACTGAGATCATCAGATCTTTAAAGTATCAGTAAAGTATACTAAAGAGGATGTAGAAATATACCAGAAAACTTAAAGCTATATTAGCAATTGTCACCAAACTTTCCTAGATCTCAGTCACTAACAATGTATTAAATTTAATGCAGTATATTAAAAATATTAGAACAACAACAACAGAAAATGTCATTCCTAGTTAC